AGATGATAGATATATAGATGATACATAGATGATAGACAGATGATAGATAGACTATAGATAATAGATAGTTAGACAGATAGATGATACATAGATAGATGATAGATAGGTGGTAGAATAGATGGATAGATGTGTGTGAGAGAAAAGATAGATGGAGATAGACAGACACAGCTAACAGGCTGACTGGACGGATGCTTGAAAGTCCAATCAGAACAAAGCAACTGGACACAGAAAATTTCCCTTCATTTAAAAAAAGAAAGAAATCTTACTGCCCCCCCACCCCCCCACCCTCGCTTGGGACTCCAGAAGCCGTACCCTTCTCAGCCTCCGTCCCATCAGCTTCCCCCGTTTGTCGTCCGCCAGATAGAAAGTGACGGAGGGGCCCATTTCTTCCAGCTGCCGCAGGACGTTCTTGGTGGCCGGAAAGACAGTCACCTGACGGAGGAAGTCAAGGGGGGGGGGGGAGCAATTACAAAAGGCCTCTCCGGAAGAATCCTCCCAAGCACGACACCCAAATCTACCCACCCAGCTCGTTTCCTCCCTTCCCAGTGGTGGCCTTCAGCCGGTTCTGACCAGTTCTGGAGAACCAGTAGGGGACATTTTGAGTCGTTTGGAGAACTGGCCAATCCCACCTCTGATTGGCCCCGCCCCCATCTATTATCCCCCTCCCATTGAGTCCCAGCTGATTGGCTGGGTCTTCTTGGGTTGCCCTGCCCAGGAGAACGGAGCTGGAAAGCAGGTTAGGGGGGTGGGATTTTGCAGTGTCCTTCCCCTGCCACGCCCACAGAACCAGTAGTAAAAGAAAAATAAAATTTGAATCCCAAAACCGCAGCAAGCGGGACGGGGGCACCTTGTACTCGTCGTCAATCAGAAGCAGCACTTTGGCGTAGTCCTGGTCCATGATGGGAAGCAGGATGGATTGCAGGATGGGGCGGCTCAGCCCCGGAGGAGTCACCTGGCTCCACTTGCCGAAGATGGGGTTGAAGACGTAGAGTTTGCTGAGGCCTGACTCCTGGGGGGGTGGGGGGGATAGTAGGCAGGGGTTGAGTGGGGGCTCAAGCACCGTAGGGCCGGTGGTACTCAACCTTTCCTTCCCGCATCGTCCGCCTTTAAATATCTTTTTGGGCCCAGGGACCCTCAAGACTTAGCTCAAGATTTTAATCCCGACGGGGTTTTCTTCAAAGCTTTTACGGACCACCCACCCACCCAGGCCAGGGGTCGGCAACCTTAAACACTCAGAGCCATTTGGACCCGTTTTCTACGGGGAACAAAAAATAAAAAACCTGGGAGCCACAAAAGTCCTAACCGGAAGTCCCCCTGTTCAATCCTGGAGCAGACCGGAAGTCCGGTTCGTCCACCATAGAGTCTCTCCTCCCAGCACCGCATCCGTTTTTTCCTCTACCTGCCCTAACCAAAAGCCCTATCAAGTGTGGAGCCGAGCGGAAAACCTGCCCCCCTGCCCTAGAATCTCCTCCTGGTGCATTGTGCAAGTTTACACCCCCCCCCAAAAAAAAACTGGAAGCTCCTCTCAAAATTGTGGTGCCGAGCGGTGACAGGGAGCTGCAGCTGAGGGATGAAAGAGCCACATGCGGCTCTAGAGCTGCAGGTGGCTGACTCCTGCCCTAGGGACCTGGGGTTGAGAGCCAGCGCCCTAGATCAAAGAAGGCTGCTCCCCTTGCGTTCCTCCCCCCCCAAGGACCTTCGGCCTTTCTCTCCCGCCCTGTCTCTTCAGCAATAGCCATAGCCCTTAGACTTATAGACCGCTTTATAGTGCTTTTTCAGCCCCCTCTAAGCGCTTTACGGAGTCAGCCTCTTGCCCCACACAACTCATTTGACCCTCCTCGGAAGGACGGAAGGCTGAAGTCAACCTGGAGTCTGGTGAGAACCGAACTGCCCAATTGCAGGCAGCCGGCAGGCAGGCAGAAGCAGCCCTGCAGTACCGCACTCTCGCCACTGCGCCACCGTGGCTCGTTTCTTCTTCTACTCGGAAGGAAAAAAGGGGAGGGGAGGCACCCACCTTGTCCTTGACCAGCAGGGTGCATTGTGGGGGGTGGGGGAAATGCGCCGTCGTCCTCTGGACCATCAGCTTAAAGGAAGATCCGGGACGCACGTCCTGGAGGAACTGCTTCCATAGGATGGTGCCCGAGCTGCTCTCTATGCCGAAAAGCTGGGGAGGAAAAAATCTCCGAATTAAGCGGTTCTTAGGAGACGCTCTGGATAGTGGAAGCGTCTTGTCTGGCCTCAGGAGGGAAGAGGAGGGAACGACGGAGCCACCCTCGCGTTGGACTCTGCCTGATGGGCTGAAGGTTTCTGCTCCCGGCAACCCCGTTTGAGGCCGTTTCGATACAAAGCGAAGACTCCCATTGTTTTAAATTCGGAGAACAGGACGCTCCTTTATGAGCGGTGCGGTGGCCCCAGAGGTCACAATCACCTCACAATCAGGAGGCTGTGAGTTTCAATCCTAGGTGGAGGCAGATATTTCTCTGTCTCTGGGCGCCATGGGAATCTATCTGCTGAATAGAATTCCGCCCTGGCAACAGGAAGGACATCCGGCCAGCAAAACACTCAGCTGCATTCGATGGCCCAGACTCCTCCCCGCAAGGGATTTACGGGGGTCGTTAAAAAAAGGATGGGGATAACAGGCACCTCCTTACATCCTCGACGTGAGGAATGGCACCTCCCCCTGCAGGAGCAGTCTACCAGGTTCTGAAGACGAGTGGGAGGATTGCCGCCCCGGCTGGTGGGGCTCCTCTTCCACAACCTCTAACGGTCTGGTGCAGAGAGCAACCGCAGCCCTCACCCACCCACCACCCACCTTTCCAGAGGCTGTGGCAATCACAATCATCTTCTGCAGGTTGAACTCATCCCGGGCTAAGTTATCGACGTTGAACTCGTTCTTCGTCTGGCTCCGGGGTTTCCGGGCGTCGTAGAACATCTTCCAGAGGTGAGTGGTCCAGGCCTGGAGCAGGATGAGCTGAGAGGACAGGCGCTTGAAGAACATGCCCAGGAGGCCGTCTGGGGGAGATTAAAAGAAGAAGAAGAAGCAGCGGCAGCCGCCGAGAACCACGATTAAGGAAAGGCTCCCAAGCGAAATTCTTTCCTTCCTTCCTGCTGGTTCCCCGGGAAGAAAAAAAAAAGATTCCTGTGAAATTTTAAGGCCAACTGGAAAGATGTTTTGTGGGAAGGCCTGGAAACTCATTTTTAAAAAAAGAGGAGGAGGAGGAGAAAGAATGAAGGGAGGGAGGAATGAGGAGAGGGAGACAATGGAGGAGGAGGAGGAGGAGGAGGAGGAGGAGGAGGAGGAGGAGGAGGAGGAGGAGGAGAGGAAGAAGAGAAAGAAGAAGAGGAGGAAGAGAAAGAAGGAGGAGGAAAGGGAGACAATGGAGGAGGAGGAAGAAGAAGAAAAGGAAGAAGAAGAGGAGGAGGAGGAAG